GTTAGATGCAGTGGTGTTAGCATTGAAAATTTGGAGGCATTATTTGTATGATGAGAAATGTCAAATATTTACTAATCATAAAAGTTTGAAGTATATCTTTGATCAGAAAAAATTGAACTTGAGACAAAGAAGATGGTTGGAGTTGATAAAAGACTATGATTACAAGATTGACTACCATCCAGGGAAAGCTAATGTGGTTGCAGATGCTCTTAGCAGAAAGACTAGTTCTTCCTCTGAATCCAATGCAGTATGTGCAGCTTTGTTGTGTGAGTTCAGGAAATTATATGCTCAGTTGTCAGCTACTACTTCGGGAGCGGTATTAGCTCATTTTCAGGTGAGGCCTGCTCTTGTAGACAGGATTGGATTAGCTTAATCTCAAGATCTAACACTGAGAAGATTGAAAGTCGAAGTTAGTACGGGGTTGAGAACAGATTATGCAATTAGAAAGGATGGTATGTTGGTTATGGAAAATAGGTTGTGTGTTCCTGATATTGCAGATTTGAAGAAAGAGATCTTAGAAGAGGCACACAGTTCTGCTTATGATATGCACCCAGGCAGTACTAAAATGTATCATACTTTGAAAGAGCATTATTGGTAGAATGACATGAAGAGAGAGATAGAGAAATTTGTATCAAAATGTTTGGTCTGTCAGCAGGTGAAACCAGATCGTTAGAAAATAGTTGGACCTTTACAGCCTTTGCCTATTCCAGAATGGAAGTGGGAACACATTATCATGGACTTCTTGTTTGGTCTTCCTCGTACTCAAAATGGTCATGATGGTGTTTGGGTGATTGTAGGTCGTTTGACCAAGACTGCCAGATTTTTACCAATCAAAATCACTTATTCTTTGAGTAAGTTGGTAAAGTTGTATGTGAATAAGATAGTTAGCTTATATGGTGCTTCAGTATCTATTGTATCTGATAGAGATCATCGGTTTACATCCAAATTTTGGCCTAGTTTACAAGGAGCTATGGGTACTAAGCTACATTTCAGTACAGCTTTTCATCCTCAGACAAATGTCCAATCAGAGAGGACTATACAAACTCTTGAGAATATGTTGAGGGCTTGTGTTTTGGAATTCAAAGGTAACTGGGATACTCATTTGTCTTTGATGGAGTTTGCTTACAATAACAGCTACCACTCCAATATAAAAATGGCTTCTTTTGAAGCTTTATAGGGTAGGAAGTGTAGAACACCAGTATGTTGGGAAGAAGTTGGTGAAAGAAAGTTAGTATGCCCTGAATTTGTTCAAATGACGTCAGAAAATGTGAAATTGATTAGACGAAATTTGAAAATAGCATAAGACAGACAGAAAAGTTATGCAGATAGGCGCAGGAAAGATCTTGAATTTGCAGTTGGAGATAGAGTATTTTTGAAATTGTCACCATGGAAAGGGGTGTTGAGATTTGGCAAACGAGAAAAGTTGAGTCTACGATATATTGGACCTTATCCGATTACTGAGCGGATTGGCCCAATTGCATATCGATTAGATTTGCCAGACGATTTATCTAGGATCCATGATATTTTTCATGTTTCTATGCTTCGCAAGTACATTGCAGATGCTTCTCATGTGCTAAAGTCT